GTTGCTTCGCAGCTGCTGTCCAAGCCGAAATTCAGTGGAGTTGAAAAGATCAAGACCATCGGCAGCACATACATGGCAGCGACGGGGCTGAGCGCTGTGCCCAGCCAGGAGCACGCCCAGGTACGGACATGCTGGCCGCCCCGCAGCACACGTGAGCCCCACTCCGTCCACGGGTCATCCCTGTAGCCAAAACGGCCATGCGGTGACCTGTGAACTGTACTGTCTGTACAATCTGAAGCTCAGTGACCAAGGTCCTAGGAGAAAGGACGAGGATTCTGGAGGCTTCTGAGGGCTGAGTGTCTGTCCACAGAACTCCTTGTGCTGGTAAACAAAAGAAAAGACAATCAGTAGCTGCTTGATACAGATAAATACGAGGGGTCTTCAAAAGTTCATGGAAAGAGTCTTAGTGTCATCTAATTCCACTTTTCTACAAACTTTTTGAAGTACCCTCCTATACAATGAAGTAGAAGATGAAAGCTCTTTATTTAAAGAAGACTCATTAAGGATGGCTCCTAACCTTTAGATTTAAAACAATGTGATCAAAAAACAAGTTGGCCATGTAAAAATTTGGTTGAAAGGGGATTTGGGCAAAATTGAGTATCTTCAATCGGGGAGGGTTTTGAGGAGATTTTCTGCTACATTGTGTTTTGGTGTATGTGTGCGTGTAGCTATACTTGTGTAACTTGTTGGGATATGCGAAGGAGTCTATAAAAAGTTCCCCTTTTCCTGAGGGCAATGGCCTCCGTGACTGGCACCCCAATGCAGGTTTGGTGCAGGGCCTGCCCTCTGCTGCACACAGCACAGAGGAAATGAACTGACCAGACCAGGGCTTTCTGCAGGCAGGTGGATTCCAAAGGAGAAGGGCTGAGCCCCATACTCTGAGCTCCTGTCCCACACCCAGCTCCTATGGAAGGAGTATGGGAGGGGACAGAGAGACACCAACTGCTGTCACAGAGCTACCTCCTCCAAGAGCATCAGGAAAGGGTCCTATTTTCCCTCTTAACGTTCATGAGCAAAGAATAGAAGGTGGACAGTCTGACTCAAGAG